CCACTGAGGCGAAGGGCCTTCGCGGGGGCCACCGGGGCTCACCGGGCTGAGGGAACAGCGGGGACGGAGTGGCCGTGGTGGTGGTGGCGGCGGTGGTGGTGGTGGTGGTGGTGGTGGTGGTGGTGGTGGTGGTGGTGGCGGCGGTGACGACGGGTGTGGGGGCGGCGGCCGGATAGATCTCGGGTGGTGGTGGTGGTGGTAGCGGCGGTGGGGGGGACGTCGGTGGCCGTTGCGCGACCTATGGGGGGAATAGATGTGCGAGTTTGTATGGATAGGGCGGGTAAGGAATGGAGTGGGCTTCGAGCTTGTGCGATTTTTAGGGGATTGCTTGCTTTGCTGAGTGTAAAGAGAGCGCATGGGCGGGTTGATCCAGATGATTATTGAGGCTGGGTAACAGTAGGTAGGATTTTGCAAAGGGCGTCAAAGATGGGGACCACTTGAAGGGCCACTGCGCGGCCGCGCAACATTGTGTGCCCTCGCAGAGCTCGCAGGTGAACGGACCGCCGGGGCATGAACAACCCCGGGCTGGTGCTGGGACGTTCTGGCTGCTGGTGCGAACTATTCGCGCCGAGTACGAAACTTCCAATCCGTGTCCAGTTCATACAAAGAAAAATGGAAACTATAATCGATATAAAACATGTAAAATTTTGGAAAACTTGGAAGTTATCGTTAAGGTTCACGTAGAAGCCCCTGTTGCCATGTCTTACGAAGCAACATCAACAGCTCGGCCGATCAGGAGCAAGGGGAGACAAAACCCAGGTCCAACTTCAAAGGCTAGTACCTATGGATTCATCTGGATTCCAGCGTCCCCCGTGTCGAGGTCCGCGCTTACTCGGCGCACCGCAGTCGGAAGCATTAGCGTTGGCTGGCGCGAGGGTAACTTACCGCCTTTTGTACCGGCCGTTCCAGGGTAGCCGATGAAGATTTTTCTTCTCCCTGAATCGGAGGAGAACGCGCCTCGATGCGTAGCAGCTGGCGCCGCGTCGTGCGCATGGGCGCTGGTACAATTGAAGTCGTGCCTGCAAGCGACGGACATTCCTTTCATCAAGATGTAAGATTTCGAGAACATAATTACATTATAGTCTGATGTACCTGGGTTTAACCTTGGCGTTGCCCCGGTGCCAAGGTGTCTCGTCGCGGACCACATTGTCGCGAGTCAGGCGATTGGAGCACTCCTCCCTAAGGCGCAGCTGAAACTATATATGTAACAAGCGTTAGATGTAGACGTATAAATAAAGATCTTGGGGACAAATACAGTAGTTTGGGTTAGGCGTTCTTTTGGTGTATGTATACGATGGTGATTATACCGTTGGGCGTCCGTTAACAGAAATAATATTGCATATAAGATTATGACATGATTATGCAATGGTTGTTGGGAATTTACGCCTGTACCTTCCAACGCGGGGATGACCCCGGATGACGAACGAAGTACGCCACGGCCAGAAAGCGACAGGATAATGTTGCATACAGATGGGAAACAGCCACGTAGAACAATCTTAACATATTCTTTACTAGTCTCTGACTCTGCGTGGTCCATGGCCTGGAATGCCCTGGCAGGGATTGCCTGTGTCGGGACCAACGGCCTAACGACATTAACTGAATTGTAGTTCATCGGACCTTTGAGGTAGTTCCTGTCAGAGGTCGGCAAACGGCTGCGGGGGGGTTGTAACATCGGTCAAAAAATCCTGCGCTGCATACGTGCACAACCACGCGCCTTTTATGACCTAGATTTCATTGAGATTGTAGTGTAGTTGTTACCGAGGAGCCAGACCGGCTCGTGTGCGACGCCCTAAACGCTAGATTCACTGACAAAACATCCTTCAGCAAGCACGCAATTAAGTCAAAGACGACATAATGCATTAAAAGCTGCAGGTTTTCGGGTCCATGGCAAATTAGTTTACCGCAATCTCCAAGAGCAAGGAAATGACCCCCATATTTCTTACAACTCTACCTTTCTCAAGGCGTGCTCTGTATTGCAATGCTGACAGAGCATGAAGCCGTCATGCCGTGTGGAGAAGGCCGCACGGGCCTCGGCAGCTTTTCCTTGCTGCTGACTGCAGTGCGTGACTGCATAATTCCGTGCAGTCTTCTCCCCATATTTCTTACAACTCTTACTTTCCATTACATTCCATTACAGCAAACTGAGTTTTGTCCAGGCCGAGCTATGGCTGCCTCCGGGCGAGGTGCGATTTGGGGAGACGTCTCTGGGGGACGCCACCCCTTCTCGGGGAGCCTTGAAATGCTCCCCGTGTAACAACCCGCAGGAACTCTCCCCAATTGAAGCAAAACTGAGTCCCAAACTTGAGCAATGGAGTTGTTATTGAAGTCCCTGAACGAAGATGGGTAGAAAGAAATGTCTTCCATGTTGCAGTACACTGTGATGTACCTCTGCCATGCCTGAGTTGTAACCTTTGCAAAATTTAAATGCATAACTATACCTCGTACATTGTTGTTCTGTAAGAAAGCGTAGCCGATGTGAAACCCGACGGCGGTAGTCAAGGATATCTGTGGGAAGTTCTCTAGGTTCATTAAATCTTTGATATCGTTATTAGATAAGCAATTTAATGGCCAGAAGGACGAGGGCGGCGAGGTTGTTGAACCCGGGCGATTTGCCCTGGCCAACTTTGAAAATCGCAGGTTGAAATCTCTATTAATTATTGATTCAGTCAGTCAGGGTCGCCAAGGCCAAATCCGAACGGACTTCCGTGTTCCAAGTAATTAATTACCGATCGGTGACTGGTCGGATGGCATGTAGGGATGCCGTGGGGATTCCAGTGCACATGCACATGCACTTGCAAGTCCTTCGAAGGGAATTCCCACACCAGTTCATGAAAGCAATCCTCGTATGCATCAGATAACATCACTCGATCACTCAACCAGTTCAGACAGGAACATACAACATACATGCATACATACGGACATGTGCGCATACAGCACATGCAAAGGGTGTTTGCTTTTTCTTCAGATTTTGAAGGGCCGTCGGAAGTCGCCTCCCCCACCGCCTCCCCGCCTGCCGGGCCCTCCTCCTCCTCCTCCTCCGCCTCCTCGTTGCTCCTCATCGTCCCATTGCCGCCTGGGGTGGCTCCACTCACTGCCGCGACCTGCACTCCGAAACCAACCAACCAACGAAATAAGAAAACAACAAGAGTACGACACCCAGCATCAGGAACAGACCAGGACCAAAATCCAGACCGAATTCGTGGGGCCACGACGAAAGCATTCAATAAATCTTAAGATTTGGATACGACGGGAAAACTGGACGTAAGGATGGCTTCCTCCTCTCTTGCCCCCCGCACTCGCACATGTGGAAGGGGGTGGCAGGGGTGAGCCACTCCATTCTGGGGTAGCACTGGCGGGGCCCCCCCCCGCCCCCGGTCTCCTTCTATCCTGCTGCTGATTTTTAATTTTGATTTTGGTTCGCCTGGTACCGCCTGGTCCACTCCTCTCCTCCAGATAAACCACCGGGAGGGGAGTCGAACCGCCGCAACTTCTCTATTGCGGGACACCAGGTACAGGCCCAGCACATCACGGTCAGGTCTGGGTTGTTTGCTACTCTTTGTCTGTCTGTCTGTCTGTCTGTCTGTCTGTCTGTCTGTCTGTCTGTCTGTCTGTCTTTCTGCCTGTCTGTCTGAACCGCTACGGCTCCGACACACCGCTACAAGGAACTACGGAATAAGTCAATTGAAGAAACAGGGGGCAATCAGTCTGGGGGGAAATCAGACAGATGAATGGAGCCAACCTAACTAACGGACCCAACAAACAAGCCAACGGAACCCAACCAACCAACCACCGGCATTCAAGCACGCACCTGGAGGACTCCATCCCGGTACACGCCGGCTGGGGTCCCACTCGCTGCCTCCAGCTCCGAAACCACTACCATCATCATCGTCTTGGGAACTGCCGTACCCTTGCCGAGATGGGCCGTACGGATTACGTGTCTGCCGTTCCACCTGTACAACATCAGCAACACAAAGAGGTGATGAATTGAAATGGGATATCGCCAGAGTGAGAGAAACAATTAATATTATAATACGTGCACATACACGCACACGATTACACACATACACACACATGTACTCGCATGCCGGGCCATGTGGTGTATACAACATTAGCGCACACACACACACACACATACACACACAAGTCACGTCTAACATCCCCCTACAGCACCAAACCAACAAACGCATCCCTCCCCCTCCCCCCCTTTCCCCATTCCCCCCACCTGACGGAACCAGGCATCACTGGATGACGAGCCCCAGGGGTCCAGTCGGCCGCTCTGCCAGGCCCGGAGTGAGCCGGGACCGCTCCTGCGTGTGGGGTGGGGGGTGGGGGAGGTGAAACACATCATACACAACACGGGGGGAAGGGGGAAGCGGGAGAGATTCAAGAGGAGGCGGAAATTTAGGAGCAGCAAAGTCAAGAAGGGAAGACAACTGTCGACATCCCAAGTTGCCAACTGCAGGGGCTGGAAAGAGGGATATACATTACTGCTATTGTATTATATTTTTATTGCTGTTACTACCACTATATGGGATGGGGTGAGTAGGGAAACACGACCCAAGTGTGAGGGGGTGAGGAACGGGGTGATGATGTGGGAAGCACAGAACATGTGCACCAAACACCAGCTTGGTGTCTCTCTATCCTATCTACCCGACTCTCCCTCTCCGCCTGACTTCGTCTAGAGCTCCTGACCTTCTGTCTTAACCTGCCTACCTGCCTACCTGCGGTGCCTGTCTACCGACCCGTCGGTCGGTCCGCATGTCCATCCATCCATCCATCCATCCATCCATCCATCCGCACTTCTATCTGTCTGTCCGTCTGTCTGTCTGTCTGTCCATCTGCATATCTATTATTCTCCTCTCACGCACGTAGCCCAGGGAGGAGTCGCACCAACAGCACCACATACACACACACATACACATACACACGCACACACACGCACCCCGGGAAGGAAACGCAAGAGGAAGGGGGTACCGGCATGCAGATCTCTACTGGCCTTGTTCCTCCCCTCCTTCCCCCTCCTCCGCTTCCTCTCCCGACCCCTACCTATAACCACACCCACCCACCCGCCACACCCACCCATCCTCACATAAACCGGGCCAACTCCTCCAGCACCCGCTCCTGGTCGCGACGCTGCTGCTGCCAACCCTCATCATCATCGCCCTCCTCTTCCTCCTCCTCCTCGTCATCAACATCGTCGCGACCCCCCAGGCCGCTGTCCCTTCCCCTCCCCCTCCGGCTGCCGGCGGGGGTTTCGGAGCCCACTTGGGACCAGCGGAAGGGGCTGCGGCGGGAGGCGGCGTTGCCCCCCTCATCCTCCTGATGCGCGGGAGGTGAGGGGGAGGTGAGGTGAGGTGAGGGGGAGGTGAGGTGAGGTGAGGTGAGGTGAGGTGAGGTGAGGGGGAGGTGAGGTGAGGTGAGGGGGAAAGACGAACCACACGCGATTGAAGCAGATACACAAGAGATAGACGGATAGTCCAGGGGAAGAAGACGACTGCTACCTCGGGAATATTTACTGACCAGTGACGACCCCCCCAACGAAGGGGTAGGGGGTTTATCAAGAGCTTGTTTGAGAGGTAAGATTCAATTTAAAGCCAGTCAGTTATGAATGGAAAATATGGTCTATAGGGTTAAGCCAAGTATCTCACTCTTACTTTATGTTTTTTTGGCTTTTAGAATTAGATATTGGTATTCAGTTTGACCGCTGGTTTTTAAATCGGCATCAAAATTGACTGATTAAAAACTTTGTTATAAGTTATAAGCTTTGCAAAGACAAAAAGTTCACGTCCAAAACACCGACTGTTGCGGGGTGGAGGGTGGGGGTAGTTAGTGTTGGGCTTTGAGGTGGTGGGAAGAGTGGAGGGGCGGGGCGGGGACAGCAGAAATCCAGCCAAGTCAAGTGGTGGGAACCAACCGTCTACTGACGGCCAAAGCCACAAACTGTTGTCGAGAGTCCCAAGCGAGCCGAGGGGGAGTTACTGAAACATCAACATGCGGGAGGGGGGGAGGTGGATACGACAAGTACGGTACACAGTACGGCGCAAAGCACCGGGCAGTGGGTCCTTCAGGGTCCTTCACTCCCCCCCGCCGCCGCCGCCGATACCGCACCTCGATGATATCTCGGAAAAAGTTGAGGCGACGGGTACTGTACGTGATGTCGTACTCACGGCGTGACTCAGCGTCCGATAGGACTTCGTACGCGCGGCTAAGCTGCACGAACGCTTCAGTCGCTCCCTCCTGCTCTCTCCGCGCGTGTCGTCCCCCACGTGTCCGACGGTTTGGTTCGTTGTGGTAGTTGTGGTAGTTAGTTAAGTTTTTGGGGAGTGGCGATGCGGAAGGAAAGGATGGGTGGGCGGCAAAGACGGGAAGACATGTCCGCGTGTGCTTGCGTTTTATGTGCGTGCATGCGTTCCTAAAGCACAGCCTCTGTTACCCACATTCACACGATGTGTACGGCTCCTTTGAAAACAAGTTGGGAAAGAGGTTGGGGGTGAGGGAGAGGCCCCTGACATTTCACATCTCCCGCTAAACCCGGGGAAACCCCCTCCCCCCCTCCACTCCCCCCTCCCGGCCCCCAAAAACACACACAGACACACACACACACACCTCCTTGTTGACGTCCGGATGAACCTCTTTGGCCTTCCGCCGGAAAGCCGCCTGTGCCGTAGGTGCGTGCGAGGTACGAGGTGGTGGAGGGGGGAGGGGGACGACACGGGGTTGCGCCTTGTGTGTGTGTATGTATGTTGTTACAGGGTGGTTAACTTCGCCAGCGGCCCCCTTTCCCGGGGCAGTCCCTGCTCTCCCCTGCTAGAGGGGCGCCCTAATCCGTCACCCCATCCGACTTCAGAATGTATTCGTTGGGTTCGGCAACTCACCACCAGCATCCAACCAAGTCTAGCGGATCAACGGCGCATCAACTTAGTTCCTGGTCAGCTCGCAAGTTGATTTTATCACGTCCTACACCGTCCATATGATGGGGGGCCACCTCCCATTTCAACAATCCTCAAACACCCGAGGAGCCGGCAGGCGGATTTGAACCCGGGTCGGCCGGGAGCAGAAGTCAGGCCTGAACCTCTGCCAGCCGCCTGCCTGTGTGTGTATGTATGTATGTGTGTATGTATGTATGTCGGTGTGCGTGTGTGTGTGTGTTTACAGCGTGTCAGGTGCGTGTCATGAGGTGGGTTTGAGTTATGTGGGGTGTTGGTGCAGCTGCGGCCCCCAGCGGGGAGGTCTGCGAGTTAACTTAGGGTTTAGAGCTTCTACACCCCTAAGGTGGTTTTAGGGTCTCTAGGGCGCTGAGGGAGAGGCAGTAACGACGACAATATGTATAATATATATATATATATGTGTGTGTGTATGTGTGTGTGTGTGTGTGTGTGCGAAACTGGGGAAGGAGGAGAGGAGGGGAATGGAGGGGCCAGAGAGGAAGGCGGATCCAAATCCGAAACATCCAGATCTAAAATTTGTTATTTAAATCTTGTTCCGTACGGCCTCTCACCCTGATGTCCTCCTCGTCGCAATCCGGCTCTACACCCAACAACTCGTAGTAGTTCAGCTCAGATCCGCCACCGCCACCACCGCCACCGCTGCCACCTGTGTCGCCACGTGGAACGTGGTTTTCCAAGGGTGAATGGGGGGATGGATGAGTGATAATAAATTTGGTGAAGGAAAAACTAGAGGATAAGAAGCAGGGGCAGGAGGCGCTAATAAGCAAAGAAACAAACACACTCGTTGCGGCGCAAGAGCGAAATCCAGACCATACACTAGCGGCCGTACCTCTGCCGTACGCCGTACAGCAAAAGCAGGCGCGTCGATTGATAAAGGTGGTGGCGGCTTCGGCGGTAGTTATCTGGGTCCGTGTGGTGGGATGGAGGGTGGATGGGCCCGCGGGGGTTCGTAGGAAGCGTGCGGAGGCCGGGGTTGTGGAAGTGCCAGCAGTGGGGGAGGACGATGGCCGGCTCGCGCAGGTGACGGGGAGAGGAGCACGGCCTGAAGGCACGTGGTGGCGGGACAGCTGATGCGTGTGGGGCCGGCTGCTAACAGCCCAAGTGCCGGAAGACAGCGGGCTCATAGACGCGCGGCTGGGGAGGGAGGGCGGGAAGGGATGGGGGAATTCAAAAATTTGCTATGAGAAGGCAAGGTTAATGTCTACTTCGTAAACCAATCAAGGTTAGTAATAAAATACATTGTTCTTGGTTCCGCATACGGACGCAACAAGGGGTTCTACGTCGCCAGAACCTTTTATCAGAGGCCGAAACCACGGGACCTGAGTGCTAGCTGGTGTACCTCTGAATTTTAGCGCGCACGGTAAGCTTCTGTTCAGGCTTGCATTGAAAGTACAACGCGCCGTGCGTTGCCATCGTTACTAGGGCCCTTCGGATGAGGTTACACCATAAGTCTTCTTAAGTACCTCCACAAATAGAACTTTTCTTATAGAGTTCAGAGCTACCAATCTTTGATACACGTCTGGGGGAATGGCTGCTGTCGAGTGCCAGGTTATCGGAGCCAGGAATCGGAGCTGATGGAGCGGGTCATTCCAATAGCAAGCTTTCTCACATGTACAATACTCCACTAGGCAAAGACTCTAACATGTTGCCCCATGGGCACCCCAAATGCGCCCTGTGAAGGGGCTTTTTGCGTTGACCTCTTTTGGCAAGGCTTTTGCGTTCTCCTTACGGTTAACTGTCCCAAGTTCTGTCTTAAATCGTAGCGCCTTGCTACCTCCCGATCTTTGTCGAGTTTAGCCATAGGACGTTAGGAGACCATGAGTACTCCACAGGAGCTCACTCCAGACGTTCTCCGCGCGCTTCAGCAGCACTTGTTGGCACAGGGAGCAGTTTTGCCGGATGGCGTAAACCTGCAGCAGGCCCTTGCTTATGCGCAGCAGTCGGCATCCGGCGCAGTTGCCATGGCCGATGGGGGGAGTGATGCCGGAGATACGGACACCGACAACGAGGAAACAGCTGCCCGACGGTCCTCAGACCGACCGACCAAAGGCAAACAAGGTTCTGGGAAGGGAACTAAGGACCAAGGCTCGAGCGGACGGGCGCCGCGGCAAAAAGGTAAGGATGTCGACGACGACGACGCGGACGAGCGCAACAAGGGCGGAAAGCCGGGTAAAGGTGGTTCCGGAGCAGGCAAGGATAGTCAACCGCCACGCAAAAAGGCGAAATCCGACGGGACATCTGCTGATGTTCCCCAGGTGCGACCGGGGTTGGGCCGAGTACGGAACTGGTGTCACATAATTGCGAGCTGTGCCGGGCACAAATACGAGTTCATTGCAACGCCATATGTCTTAGGGTGCAGACCCCACATCTGTTTCCTCAGCTCAATTGGCGAGTTTCGCGTCGAGGGCTTTCTTTGCTAGTTTGGGATTGGATTTAGTGCCGTTGCGCGCTTGGTGCGTGCTTTGTTACGGGTTTCGGAGCGCTTTTTGCAGCTCATATGTAAGTTTCGTCGCCATGCACATCAGGTTACTGGAACTATTGTATTTTTGCTTAATATCGTACCGGTTGTGGATTAAGTGTTTTACTTGCTGTGTGCGCGAATGCTGCGGCAGTTTCACTTGGTAGGTCTTTAGGGTCGCCCTGCGGCGGTGAAGACGCGTCGCTGGTTCAGACCAAGCCATGTTGGTTCAATGCATTGCCATTGCAACTCTATAAACCCAACCCCGAATTACCTACTTTTGGGCGACATGCGCAGCAGCAGATAAGGCAAACAGCCAAATAAGGCAAACAGCCGCTCCGAAACCAACAACCTGCGGCATTATCGCAATAGCAACGAGGCCAACCTAATGGATTGGCTGTTATCCAATGCTACTGATACACTCTTTGCAATTATGCGCATCGCGTGGCGATGACGGCAGTAGCAGCTGCAGCGACAAGTCAGTGAGGAGGCCACCGGCATCGAAAAGGAAACGTATGACTTTCTTCAGGCACGCTCCGAAACCATTCAAGAAAATGTTCCGTCCTAGGTCCACTATTAAACCAGCGTAGGCCCGGCTGTCTGCCGGTCCGTACGAGGGGCCCCCAAGCCGTCATTCGAAAGCCGCGTCTTCACCCACGCCACATCGTGCAGAGTGTCTGTGTGTATGTATGTGAATGTGTTTCTACGCTAATATGTGCTGCTGCCGCCGCTGCTGCTGCTACTGCGGGACCTTTCCCAGGCTTGTAGCTTCTTATTATAGCTTCTTTTGTTAATCCGGCTCCAAAATCAATATTTCTCTGTTTTCCGTTTCGTGTTTCCTGGACATCCCAAACTATCCTCCCGTTGAACGGCAATGCAGTTCGATCCGCTCCGAAACCTGGACGTGCTGGCAGCGGCCGCGCTGGCTCAGGCCAACGTGGAGCAGCCCGTCGGCAGCGGCGTCGGCGTCGTAGGGAGTACGGCAGTCCTCATCGCTCCGTTAGAAAGTGGGGATCAGCTGCAGCTGACCGCCATCCCAGCGGCGGTGGCGGCTCCAGTGGCGGGAGGCACGTTAGCTGCCGCCGCAGCATCTCCCAGGCTCCGGACAGCCGTATCCAGCGGCCCTTCGGCGGCGGCAGCTCACGGCGGACCTGCCGCCGCCGCCGCCGCCACGGGACCTGTACGGGGCCTGCCGCCGCTGGCTGGCGCCGGGACCGGCACGGCCACCGCCGGCGGCGGCCCAGCGGGGTTGGGAACGAGCGGCGGTTCCGGAGCCAACCCTGTTGCTGCAGCCGTATCGGCGAGTTCGCCGGGTGCGTCCGGGCGGGCAGGACGAAGTACCGGCGGCGGCGCCCCGCCGGCCGCCACATCCTCTGGTGCGTCTGCCAGTCTTACGGCTGCTGCACCCGTTAGTGGCGGTGGGTCAGAGTCTCCTCGCCAAGCGGTGGCGGCAGCGACCGGGGCTTACGTGCAGCCGACGCCGCTGACCTTCGCGCCCTTGGGAACGCCACCTCAAGCACAGCCAGCAGGCGGCGGCTCAGCGGTGGGGGCCCCCCAACCGCTGCAACAGCCGCCGCCGCCGCAGCAGCAGCAGCACCCTCAGCTGGCGCAGGTGGCGGTGGCGGCGGGGCCCATTCCCACGAAGCCGCGCTCCCGGCGGCCGCTGCCGCCGCACATCGCGACCCAGCGGCAGGCGTCTCAGCAGCCCGGCGGGACCTCCGGCTCGCGGCCGGGGCACGAGCCGGCGGCGCTGGCCGACGGCGGCGACGACGGCTCCGCGGAACGGATGGAGGAGGCGCCTGGCGGAGGCGGAGGCGCTGATAGTACTATGCTTGACAGCTCCGGAGCGGAGCTTCTCACAGCTGAGGAGCAGCTACAGCCCCCGCAGTCGCTGGTTGTAGTGCTGCAGCCGCACCTTCAGGGAGACCCGTCGCTGCTGCTGCCAACGCTACAGCCAGGCTTGCTGCCCGCCGGGCTTGGTAGCGCTGGAATGGCATTCGCCCCCGCCAGCGGCTTGACCGCGCCGCTGGCGCCGCCGCAGTCGGCCGCCATGGCAGCAGGGTCTAGCGGCGACGCTGCTGCGGTCGCTGCTGCTGCTGCCGCAGCAGCAGCGGCGGCGGCGGCTGTGCCAGGTGCGGTGTCGCCGGAACCAGCGGCGACGGCTGCGACGCCGCCGCCGCCGCTGGCACTGCCCGGCCTGTCGCTGGATACTGCCGTAGAGTTGGCGGCGCTCATGTCTGGGGTCGTGGCGAGCCTTGACAACAACCACCACCAGCATCACTCGGCGGCAGCGGCGCCGGGTCTTCCTCACCAATCCGCATCATTGCAAGGTGGCCTCATGCACGCCCCGCTACCCGACGCGTCCCTTGCCGTTCCGGCCGGCGGCGAGGATGGAGCCCCCATGCAGCACGGCGCCGCCGCCGCCACCGCTGCCGCGACGTCCTCCCCGTCGGGCCTCGCCGTGTCCCTGGCGCCGCCGTCGCAAGGCTCCACCGCCGCCGGCGACCTGGTTCAACATCCGCACCATCATCATTTGCCGCCGCCGCCAGCGCTTCAGGCGACGGCGACTTTACCGCCACTGCCTAGCGGCGGCGCCGCTGCCGCAAGCGGCGGCAGCAGCGTCATGTCCCTGCCCGGCATGGAGGCTCTTGCCGGCGAGCCGATGATGGTGGCATCGCTCATTCAGGCGGCATTAGCTAACCACGAGGCCACTGCAGCGTCCTTGGGAATGTCGCAGGGCGGGGGCAATTCGCAGGGCAGCAGCCACACTCAGCTCAGTGAGCTGCTGATGGCGGCGACGGCGGGCGGGGGGCAGCCGCTGGCCGCGGCCATGGCGGCGATGACGGCCGCCGCGGAGGGGCTTATGGCACCAGGCGGGCCCATGAGCCTTGGAAGCGGTGGCGGCAGCGGCGGCGGCGGCGGCGGGGCACTCGGCGTCGAGTCCGGCGCATTCGCTGCTGCTGCGATGGCTGCTGTGGCTGGGGTGGCGGGCGGGGGAAGGAGACGCGGCGGGGGCGGCGGGCGACGACGCGGCGGCGGAGCGGGCGCGGATTCTGAGGGCTACGATGACGACATGAGCGACGACGAGACGCGGCGAAAGGAGGTGAGCGAGAGAGGCAAGCTGCGTGTAAGTATGTATGTATGTATGTATCGGTAACTACCCTTTCAGATTGGGGGTAGTGTCATAAACCCCCCCCCCTCACCCAACATAACCTAAGTGGCCGAAGTGATGTTTGGGGTTTGTGTTCCGAACAGGGCGTGCTTCAAGTTGAAGCATACCTACCTATCCATGCACACACGCCCGTACACACATACATACAGACCCACACACGCAGATACACACATACAGACACGCTGCCGGTTCCTCGGTGTTTTGTCCTCCTCCTCCTCCTCCCCCTCTAAAGCTCCTCCCTCTCCCTCTCGTCCTCCCCATTCCCCACAGCCACGTGACCGGCAGCAGCAGCGCGCGCCCGCGCAGTGCAGGCGCTTCTACGAGCCCGCCATGAAGGTGACGTTCGATGAGGGGATGAAGCTGGCAGACGGCCGCATCTACGTGCCGTTGCCCTTCGTGCACAAGAACTTCGCAGAGCAGCAGTTCCCGCTGCGGCTCCCCGCGGACATTATCGTGAATGGGGAGATGATTAACGAGGGCTTTGTGGTGAGCTGCTGGGAGCTGGGAAGGGAGGGAGGGGGGGAGGGAATGGAGGAGGCAACCCGTGCAGAGGTTTTGGGAATGAGGGCTAAGAGGACGGCGAATTGTTGTTTTCCTGCCGTTACGTTTCCTCTTTCAATTGCGAGCATTTTTCCATTCTCTTCACCGTTGTTGTTGCCATTGCCGCTCCTCCTGTTGCTGTTGTTTTTGATGATGTTGATGATGTTGTTGATGATGATGATGATGATGCAAGAGCTGAGGCCGCAGCTCGTCCAGTACGGCAAACACAGCGAAGGTGGCGCTGACCTGCTGTGCCTCGCGTCCGGATGGCTTCCTCGGGAGATTAATCCTCGGCCGCCCCGAAATCCTAAAGAACCCTAAAAACTGGGAGTCCCCCGCACTCCCCCACCCCACCCCCACCCCCACCCTGGGCAGCTAACCTCGCGCCTCGTAGTGGTGGGTGAAAGGAACAGCCGGTAGAAGCTGACAGCCCGCGACACGCGTCATGCTGCGCAGGTCAAAATTGCACGTAGCCAAAACAAGACACGTCGCCACGGTCTGGGCAACCACTGGGTCACCGGGCACCAGCGCCTAATCAAGCACTACAAGGTCCGGGCGCGGGGAGAGTTCCTTTTTGGGAGGGAGGGGACGTTATCTTTGTGTTTTCGTGTTGCGTGACCCTTTTGTGTTTTGAATGTTGTGATTTGAATGTGGTTGCTGGAAAATTGTGATGATGAGCAAGGACACAGCAGTGATGTGATGTGGGGTGGGGTGGGGTAGACGGCGCTGCCGCGAACCTCTACGCAACCCATGCATGCATACATACCCATGCATACATACATACATTTTCCCAGGCCGTCGGCAGTTGAGTTCTTTTTTTATTCAAAAATGGATGCATATGACTTCCATTATACCCCCCCTCATCACCATCACCCACACGTTCTTCCTCCGTTTTAACCACTTTTCTGTTAACTCCTTCCTCCACAGGACGTACGACTGACGGGCCTGGAGTTAGTTGACCACAACCGCCTCAAGATCATGTTATCGGCCAGCGGCGTGTGGGACGACGCCGCCGGCCAGCAGGCAGCCTCCTCGTCTTCGCAGCACCAGCAGCAGCAACAACAGCAGCAGCAGCAACCGCCGCACCACCACCACACCCATCACAATGCGGCGCAGCAGCACCCGATTCATCACACGGCGCTGCAGCCTTCACAGCTACAGCCTGCCGGGCTGGGCCATGCGGTCGCGGGAGGGATGGGCGCCATTCCCGGCCTACCGCACCCGGCGCTGCTGGCCGCGCTGCCGCCGGGCGCTTACAACACAGGTGGGTGGGTGTGCGGTGGGTGTGCGGTGTGAGGTGGGGGAATGCGAGAATGCCCTTCCTCCCCCCGCCACTCCACACACACAACACACACACACACACGCGCGCACACACACATACACGCACACACACACGGTGTGATGACCGAGGGGAGCGCTTCTGTGCACGCGTGCTCCTCCTCGAGTGGGGTTGGGTTCTTCCTCTTAGCTCTTAGTTGTAACAGGGCCACAGGGCCAGGCCGCCACAACTCCCTTGCCCCCCTCTCTTCCCATGTACAACCCCCCTCCCGCACACACACGCACACACACACACACACACACACACACAACCCCCTCCCCCCCCCGACCCCTGCCAGGATTCTTCATGAAGCCAGATGGCAGCAGTGCCGCAACGACAGGGTTTGAACAGCTGAGCGCCTTACTAGCCATGCAAGCTGCGGCTGCAGCGGCCGCCGCTGCGGCATCCGCCACCACCGGCCACAACCCGCTTATGGCCCCGCACGCGGCCATGGTGGGCCTGGGTATGTTGCATCACGGCGGCGGCGCCGGCGGCCCCAGCCCGCTGCAAGTCGTACCGGCGGCAGCGCCTGGCGCCGCCAATCCCAACACCTTCCTAGCCATGCTTGGCGGCGCCGGGGCAGGTACGGCACCGGCCCTTGGAAGCGGTTCCGGAGCTGCCGCCGGCCCAGGTGCCGCCGGCGGTGGCGCCCTCGTGTTATCACATTCTATGGGTGTACCGCATGCCGTACAGCAGCAACACGCGGCGTCGCCGTCGCAGCAGCAGCAAGAGCCGACGGTTGATGCAGCGGCGGACGAAGCCGCCGCGGCCGCAGCAACGGCACCGACGGACACCTCATGCGGGGGCGGCGGCGCCGTTGCCGGCGACGGCGACGGCGTCCAAGCCGGTTCGGGCGGCGAGGTGGGTCCGGTTGGGGGTACGGCAGGTCCGGAGGCGACGGCTGGGGGCCCCCAACAACATCAGCACCTAGAAGGGCAGCACCAGCAGCACCAGCACCAGCAGCACCAGTCGAACTACGATACACTTGAAGCTGGGAGCCTGACCGCGGCGCTGGGTCTGCAGGACACTGGTCAGGCTGCCGACGCGCCGCTGGCGTCGGCCGGCGACGAGGTCGGCGGTGCCGCTACCGACCCGGCGGAAGGCGGTGGGGTCCGGGCGGCGTCGCATGCGCATACAACACCTCAGGACGACGGCACTGTAGCGGCTGCTGCTGCTCAGGAGCAGAGTCAGCAGGAACAGTCGCCGCCGCAACAGCCGTCGCAGCAGCAGCAGCAGCAGCAGCAGCCTCCGGAGGGCCTGTCTTGGAGCCAGTTACCCCTGGCCCCCGGCCCGCTCCAACACGTGTTACTGTCCCACGCCAACCTCTACCCACACACGCTGCTACAGCCACAGCCGCAACATCCCCATCCCCATCAGCAGCAGCAGCAACAGCCTTCCCAACATCCTCACCAGCCGACAGACGAGCAGAACGGTGCAGCACCGGCAGCGGCGGCAGCGGATGACGGCTCCGTCGCCGCAGCCGGCGGGTCGGCCCCTGGCGGCGGCGGCGGCGGCGGCGACGGCTCCGTCGCCGCAGCGGCCAACGCCGCTGCTGCCGCGGCTGCCGCTTCCTCGACCTCCGCCTCCGTCGACAACGCGCTGGCTGTGATGCACAGCTTGATGGTGGGTCCCTCCGGGCTGCAGCCTCAGCACGGGCACTACGGCGCCGCTGCACACGGTCACACGGGTTTACCCATCATCGCCTCGCTCACCAGCGGTACGGCAGCAACAGCAGCGGCAGGATCGGCTCATGGGCAACAACAACAATCCGCTGGTACGCATCCCGGCGCTGCCGGGGCCCTACCTTTCGCTCTGGCGGCGGCACCGCCGGGCGGGGGCGCACCTGTGCCGCCCAACTTCCTGCTTCCGCTGATGCAGGGCGGTGGCCAGGCGGGTTCGCAGCAGGATGGCCAGCAGGCGGCGGCCGCTGCCGCTGCGGCGGCTGCAGCAGCGGCCGCTGCCGCTGGGCACATGGGCCCCCTGACAGCGCTGCTGCCGCCTGGCATGATGGCGGCGGCGGGGCCAGGCGGCCTCAGTGGGGACCTGCTGGCGGCGGCGGCGGCCGCTAACGGGCAGTGGAGCATGGACGCTTTCCAGGTGTGTGTGTGTGTGTGTGTGTGTGTGTGTGTGTGTGTGGCGTGGGTTTCTGGTTTGGGTGGGCGAGCGGAGGGGTTTATATATGGGTGGATGGGTGGTTGAGTGGGTGGGTGAAGAGAGGCGCAGGCTAGGGAGGGAGGGAGGGAGGTTCACCTTCCCTTTTGCTCTTTCCGGTGGCGCCGACCTGCTGATGCGGTCTAAGCACCTGTCCAAAGCCTCCGGCACTGCGATCACCTGGTGGGGCCTCCGCAGCCCTTCCCTTTGTGGAGTTTCTTATCCTCGTTCGAAAAGTTTAAACCGTATCGTTGCTTATGGCACGACGAGGACGAGATACGGAGAAAGAAACCGGGGGGGAGCCTAACGCGTTCATCCTGCCGTGCTTGTTGCATCTTGGGAACCCCCCCCCCCAAACACTAACGGATTTCCTAACTGCAAGAAATACGCGCGCGCCTTCTTAAAGTAAAGACAACAGATCTGCCGTCGTTGACAAAGCATGAGACGTGCTGCCATTGCGTTTCTTGGCCCCCTCTTTCTGTTTTACATACCTGCTGATAAAAAATGATATTTATTGATTTGATATATTGATATTCACTGAAGCTGTGACTGATACCCCGCCGTAAACTGTTTGCCTCTTTGTACAGACGCTATTCGCTGCGGGGAGTCCCATGGGTCTGTTGGGTCTGCCCCGAGGCGCTCCCGTCGTGCAGCCGCCCACCACCTTGAGCAGTGCGACGGGTGGGTGTCGGGGGCGAGGGGGGCCGCCTCGTCAGGTAGCCACATCTTTAGGTGCACTAATAAATACATGCATACAGACAGACAGATAAGATAGACAGACAGACAGACAGACAGACAGACAGACAGACATAATAGGGATGCACCCCCGCAGCCGTTGCCCCAGAGCTGGCGGTCCAGCTCGGCATACGTGTGTGTTTATGTGTTTGTGTGTGTTTCATCTTCACCTTCACCTTCACCTTCACCTCGCTGAAAGCCCCCTGCTTGGTCTCAATCTCTTCGGCTCCTCTTCCAGCCCCTTCTGACCTCCAAGCACAGAGAGATGCTAGGAGGTGTGCGAGAAGGCGATGCCTCCCCTCCTTTCCCCCTCCTTCCCCCCTGCCCCCCGGGGGCTGTTTGCGGTGTGTTTTCACTCCACCTGCCCGGCGTACCCAACCGGTGGCCGGTCCGTTGCTGTGTTGCCGCCGGCCTGTCGCAGGTAACCATCAGTATCCTCGACTGTACGACGGCCGTATCCACGTACCTCTGAATCTGATCAACAGCCATTTTGCCCATGTTGAGGTCAGCGCCGTGTGTACGGGTGTTGTGTGTGTGTACGGGTGTTGTGTGTGTGTACGGGTGTTGTGTGTGTGTGTGTGTACGGGTGTTGTGTGTGTGTGTACGGGTGTTGTGTGTGTTTGTACGGGTGTTGTGGGGATGTATGGGGTTCTGCATGTGACATGCCAGGCAGCTTGATAACTCCCAGGTCACCATGTACCTGCACAGGGCCCCCCAGCGCCGGCTACCTTCACTTTCTAATCCCTATACCCCCCTCCCCCCACCGCCCCCCCCCTCTTCGGCAGTTTCCCGTTTCCGTACACACCAAGGTGGTCATCAACGCGGATGTTGTAGGGGAGAGCATCCAGGTGAGGTGGTTGGGACCACACACTGCCCCAGATGAGGTGGTGGTGGGGGTCCCCCCTTGGCACACACCTCCCTTCGCCACCTCCCTGCTCCTCCGCACAGGAAAAGGCAACATGCGCATCCACCCATACTGCAGCCCAGCTCAGATCATCTTGTTCCATTCTTCCTTCCTTCCTTTCTCTCGTCCTTTCTCTCGTCCTTTCTCTCGTCCTTTTTTCATTATTTTCTCCCTAGCGCAAGCAAGCAGTAAAGCAGAAATAAGAGGTTAGCAGGCGGTTTAAATCGCTGAGAGTATGGTAAAGTATATTGCTGCTGGCCGCCCCGTCCGGCCCACTCTCGATCCGTCTTCCCTTCGCCCCGCAGGCTCGCATCGTCAAGTATAAGAAGCACCGGAGACCCAACCACTTCAACTACTGGATCACGGGTCTGCAGAAGACGCTGTCAAGGTGGGGGTCTGGTGGGGAAGGGCCGAGGGAGGGAGGGAAGCTGCAGGTAGGTGGGAGACGAGGAGGGGAGGGAGGGCATAGCGCATAAGAGGAAGGCAAGGCTGGGAAAAAACACATAGCCGATAGGGAGCCTAGTTGGCTGGTTGGTTGGTTGGTTGGTTGCGTCTTTGCGAGTCCCGAATCCCCAACTCCCATTCCCTTCCATGCCTCGACTGATCCCACCCTGGCCGTATGTGGCGGCACCCGGCCCGCGGCGACACGTACATCTGACAGGTACAACGATGTACGGCAGGCGGGCGTGTCCATGGAGCCCGGCGGCGCAGTGATCCGCGTGAACCTGGTGGCCGCGAGCAATTAGTGGCCGGGGGGGAATCGGGGGGAGGGAGTTGCGACCGGGCCATATGAGGGTCCCCGCCTAGGGGTATATGCAAGTGGGATGAGGAGAGATACGTAGAGCGTGAGAAAGCAAAGCACCCGCAGAGTGGGGGAAGGCTCGGGCCGGGGCCTGCAAGCTAAAAAAGGGTGAAGACAAGGCCCGGAAAAAGAATCCAAACCTGTGAACGGCCCTGGGGACTATAACGCTCATTTCCACCATTCTGTGTGTTTTGTTAGATCCGTCGGCGTATTTGTCTGTTCGCTTGTACACCACAGATGATGGCATCAAAGCAAAACGATGCTTGTTTATTTGTTTGCCTGTTTTGCTTACTTGTTTCGATTGTCTGGCAGCGCTGGTGGGTGTTGGGAAGCCGGTTTCATGTTTCCAAGTGTCGAAGGGTAGTGTGTGTGTATGTGTGTATGTATGTGTGTGGCTGTAGGCGGCCCTTAGCAGTTTCCACTACCTGCCACGTCACCCCCCCGCCCATCATCGTCCGCTTGAATGGTTTACTAGCTGCGCGGGTGGTTGGGTGGCTGGGTGTGCTAGGAGCCGGTGGCCCTGCAGCAGCGTTGGTCAACAGGGTGCGTGGGTGTGGATGCGTGTCGGTGCGTTTTGATTGAGTATGTCGGTGTACGTGCGCGTATGTGAATGGTTGTCTGTCTGGAAACTCTGAATATGGATGTGGGTGTAAAGAGATCGACAGGATGGTAAAAACGATGGAAAAAATTGCTTTTGAAAGGGTAAAATATATTGTCCACAGCTGCTCGCTCGCTCTTCTGCAGCAAGAAGCACGTCGAGGAGTAATTAAGGTCGATTAAGACGGTGGGTGCGGTGGGTGCGTGGGGTGGGGTGCGAAACACACAAGCAAGCAGCGAAGGGCCAACTGCCAACGCCCCGGCGCGTGGCGTGGGGTGTGGTGGGTTGAGGATCTTGGGGCGCGTGGTCAAAACGTTTTAAACGAGCCGTGAGGGCGCGCTTGCTTCGCTTCGCTTTGTTTTGATCTGTTTTGTTTTGCATGCTGGGAAGTCCTCCAAACTTGGGGAGACTGTTAAGGGAAGGAATGCTCCGGGATACGCTACAGTGATAATGTTCTCAATTTTGGAAAGGCGCTGTTTACTACAAACTTTTTTTGGACGTGGCGAGGCTGGGGCGGGGTGATGGTTTTCAAACGGTCCGCAATGGCGTATGCATGGCGGTGCATGTGTGTGTGAGGAGAGGTGCAGCCGCGCGGAGGTCTTTCCTGGAGTGCGAGTTTTGGTTTCGGAGAAGGTATGTGGTGTTCACTTCGCGTGCGTTATGCGTGGGATGTCCTCACGGAAATGATGGTGGGGGTGGGAAGGGGGGAATGTGCCGTGAAATGCAAGTACGGATTGCACTGGGCGGGAAATGGAAGACCGAGGGGGGGAATACACGCTGCCCGGTTGTGCAGAGTGCTGCGACTGGGGGCATCTGCAGCTGTGCGAGGAAGGCCGAGGGGGAAACCATCGGGCACCGGCAGGGAGCGCTGGGTCTCGACTTTAGTGGTAATGAAAAGCAGTGTGGTATATATCATGTGATGAGACATGATATCGGACTTCTCGAACCGGTAACAACTCGACCTTTGTGATAACTCGATATTAAGGTGCAGAATTTGTTGCGTAAGGGTAAAACATGCTCACATGTGCACATCAAGTAAGTGACGTACAAACTATTCGCAAACTACTTTGTGGCGGGAAAATCCGTCGAACATGACCGAAGACCGCCTTTTTACATAGGCTACCAACCCAATGTGCTCGCGAGGTCGCAACCATATCGTACATAGTTGTATGCACACGCACAAGCTATCATTTGCTTGTCGGTTTCGGGGCACACACACACACACACACACACACGTGCCTGCCCCTCGTCGCGTGCGCTCGAGAGGTGTTTAGCGCCCCCGCAACGGAGAATCCCCCGCAACGGGTAAGAGACCCAGATTTCTAATAGGGCCTCGTGCCTTAATAGGGAGGGGCAGGGTCTATAAAGGGCTTCCGGGTTTCCTCTGTCTTAGTGGATCTCCCCCCCCCCAAGGGCCGGATCAGGCCGGGGAGGGAGAGGGGAGTCTTGTTTCGTGTTTCAGGCTCAGTGAACGCAAACTCGCGTGACGGAGCCTTGACTCGTGAGAACGTGCGCGCGTGCGACGCCTCCCACCTCCGGGAGAGGAGAGCGAAGCTAGCGGACCTGCGGCTCTCGGCTGCTTAGGAGGGGGCAGAGGCCCCTCGGGCCCTCTTCCGTCCGCGGGAGAGAGCTTAGGCGGTCATTCCGTTGGGGGTGGGCAGCAGTCCCTGGCCAGTGCCAGGCCCGGTCAGATGCATATAGCCTTTGCTCACGCACAACAATAACAACAACAACAACAACAACAGACGCCATTTACGCTAAATTAATGCAGAGCGAACACGGGGGTGACAAAGCTGTGTTCGCCCCATCAACCGCATTTTCCTCGTCCTGTACGTACCTAACCTCCATCTCAGCTTGGCGGCAGGAATAAACACAATTTAAATGGACTACTCCCTCCCAAACTGCATGTTCTCAACCTGTATGTGCATGAACATGCTAAAGTGTACATATACACATTCGATGATGCAAGCAATCCTTATCTAACACACAGACACACACACACACACACGCACACACACGCAGTTGCGCCCCAATTACATCTGCACCACCACACCGCCGCGCCGCACCAAATCGGCTACGGCACACAGCGCACGCAAACATACGTCACCTGCAAACACCAGATGCCAGAACAGTACGGCCTTTTTTCCATACAGTACTGTAAAACATCAAAACGTAGTTTCGTCGTGGTAAAGGGACTCATGTTGCGAGTCGCACGGAGATACTGCTGCTGCTGCTGCTGCCCTAAGCGACGGCCAATACCTCCAGAACTGGTCATTCCCTCGCATACGTCATCAAGTCAACCTAAGTTTCGGAAAACCTAAGTTCCGGAATGGGTTTGTCATAGTTTCCAATTTGGGATCGATTCTATGTGTGTGTTGTTACAGTGGGCTCCAGACTCCCGAAGAGTAGAGCCATCGGGCCAGCTGGCCGTGCACTGCAGTAGAGACTAATATACCAAAAGATTATCACCTCAGATAATTAACCTATCATCGGTAACCGCTCTCGCGAGCACAGCAATTTGCCAGATATAATTCTCAAGAAGGGGTGATGTGCGCCAACGGAATCCCAACCTTTCCGTGGAATTCCCAAAGCTGCGAAACCCTGAATGCGGCCCCAAAAGTCAACAATAACTCGACAAATTGCTTCTTCCGTAAGGGAAGGGCCAGGTAACAGTGCCGGGTTGGTTTTCATGTTTGCAGCCATATAACGTCTCCCATGCTCCATGGCTGACACCGCAGCAAGAGCCACAACATCCCAAACACATTGTTGCACTGATTGTGGGGCTTGGATAAGCCAAAGTTGCTCCCTTGAGACTGGCACTCCTATTGAAAGAGTAAGTTGATCTGCTACTGCCTGTGCCACCGGACAGGCCCAGAAATGATGATAGCGAGGGGATACACCTCCCACTGAACCTATTGGATAACCTCCACAACCACATATCGTTGGGCTCGACATCCTAAGATGGGAATTTCCTAACATAGTCACCCCATCAACCGCGAGACGCCACCAAACCTCTTTTTTTTTTGATTTTATGGTTTGATTTTGATTCTATGGTCATCGGTTCTCAGGTTGTCTTCCGGCTTCCCCAGGCGGTAGGCACATTTCCATCCCATCCCATCAACCTAGGCTCCGGAACGGGCTTGATGATCCCAGGAAGGTGTTGATGGTTGCCGGTGACACTTTAATGAGTCGAGCTGGGATGGTCGCACTGCCGAGCTGTCGTCAGGCAACCCGCAGGGGAAATAGGGGAGAGCGGGATGTGACGGGAAAGCGCGTAAAACACACAGACATACGTTGTCATTTGTGCAGGAGAAGTGGTAAACAGGTCCTAGGAGAACGAGCCAGGTCAAAGATCACAAAGCCAATAATACCACTGACGATTCCCTGTAACAGCCTACCTCCCCTCGTTCACTCATTTATTTAATATGACAAAATTCTCTTAGCGGCCACACACCGTCCTTGTCCTTCGCAAACCTCAATCCCAACGTGTGTACCGTGTTGTGAAAACATCGCAAGAGAGTTAGCTCGCATTAGCACTGCCCGCAGACGTCATCCCTTTCAACCCATGTAATGTTTTCCTGGCCCACGAGGTCGCGGTTGCTCCAGTTTGCCACTTGGGTTGTGACCCAGGTCGCGACAAGGGAGTCGGGTGACGTGGGTTGTGATGTCCAGGCCAGTAAGGCAGGACAAAGAGCATCGCGTACCTCTATGTGGGCAGCCCAACGGTGGCAGCCTCCAAATGCAAAATAGTACGAGCCCTCCGGTCTCTCCACCCAGGCTACCTCAATTGGGGTGAGCACCACGCCATCCTGTGCCAAGGATGACTCAGAGCCGGAATGCATGCTTTCAGGTTCACATACTCAAGGATATGCAGCATAATGCCTTGCCGGAAGCTTGCTGAGTATGCAGTTTGGACGGCCGTAAGAGCGTCCTCTTCAAGGCTGTGCGACGATGGTTTCCGTACAGTAAACGTTAGTAAGTCCATAAGCGCAAGCCTCATAACGTAGAAGCTGAACACAAGCTACGATTTCCCATGTCAGCCTTAGGATGTTCAGAGATGTAAGTCGGCACCTTTCCTTATTCAAGGAATACCGGTGGCGCATCCCACCATGCCATGACCAAGCCACAACCTAACCAAGCCCAAGTCCCTTCGAACCATGCCCTTGTACCTGGAATGCGCATACCTGTATTTTTTGCTTGAAGTCATCCACTTTTGCACGATCGACGGTAGATATGAGCGGACGACGTATGACGCTCACCGGCACATCGTGGACTTCAGCTTTATCCGACACAAAGATACTCGAAGGAAAGCCATCGGACTTGGATGTGGGCTTGCACGCTGGTGCGTCGCACATCCCAAAAGGAAATATCAAAAGTAGGGACGGAACCGTGAGTCTACAAGACAACAGCAAACAGACTTCTTTGTTTTGCAGTTGCTTCCTTATTTAGGGTTAAGCATTTGTCCCAAGCCACCTTAAGCTTAACCGTTGGCACAAGACAAGACGTGGCATGTACTGGCCGTACTGGCCAGCAACATGCGTCGCCCCACACCGGGTTTGTAACGCCGCTAAGGCGGCCCTTGGCTCACCGGGTTAACGTTTATCGTACCAGCGGTACATCCAAGAACTATGAATAGTCCTTCAATACCATACGGTATTTCTCAATACCACCTTTTATCGTTGGATAAATATCTTCGCAACTGCTTCGCCAACTGCCGAGCTTTGTTACAGGGTTCGTGTGGACTGTACAAGCTCGTGAAGCGTTGTAACTATCCATCCATCCCCACAACGGTTATCCTTCAAGGTATGCACATGCGACCATGATTTAGGAAAAGTGAAGAAGTCCGTTACGACAGCATCTCCCGTGTGCCAAAAATTTTGGGTTCCTCCCCGTACGCCAACTGCTTTTTGTGAGCGGCCAACCCTGTTTCCACTATTATTCACGCTGCTCCAGCGAGGACGCCTTGTAAACTCTCTGATATAGTGTGAGGTTGCCCACCATGCTTGGTGTCGAGAAGGGGCGGTGCAAGGCGATACAAAGGGGAAGGAAAGTGGTGAGTGGCGTGGAAGCATTTGCACCGTCTCCCAGCACCAAGTCCTCTCGTCGACTAATCCGTCTCGGATCGGTCGCCCAAAGGCAACTTGCCTGTGGTGACCTGTCTAATAATCTTACGAAATATATTCCACAAGATAACAGCGAACGTGTTACCTCCTACTTGATACTAACACGCGGACACTCATGTTGAAGCGCATCCTCAGCAGGGACTTTTTCGGCGGCTTCCAACTACGCAAAAACACCTAATCCCTACGAATGCCGCCTAATCCCTGAGCTGATGGACTCTTTGTGTTTTTTGCTTACCTGTATCTGTCGGATTGCTTTCATGTTTATACCTTTCTTGCTCCGTTTTAACAGAACCCTGGCAAAAGCAATGCCTGTGAGGTCATGGTAGGGCCTCCATGGCGGCAGTGGGACGCTCCTGCCTGTCGTTGGGCCCCCAATTTTACACATCCCCAAGAATATACACCTGTTGTCAAGGCAGTCGTTATGGCATCCAGACGTTCCTCCTCCGAGTCGCAGCCAGTCCTCATAATCAATCCACTGTTAAGAAACCGCCGTTTCGTGGCCTCGTACAGAAGGGCAATGTAAGCAAGCCCAGCACCCTTCCTCCAGCCCTCCTCGCAAATCTCTTCGTCTCGCTTGTCCCTTGCAGGCATATGCGCGATCTGGGGTATGCAACGCACCCCCAAACCAGGGCGCATTCCAAATCCAAACCATTGTGCGAATAAGGCTTAGTACCTGGATGCACAGCACCCTTTGCAGCCCAGGAAAAAGATTTGTGAAGCTAGGAACGAAGTCAATTCGCATCCATCACCCCCGCGTGCAGCCCCAGGCCCAAGTCTCAAGCTTTGCCTTAGGCAAAATCCCAACCAGCGGGACGCGGAGCATGAACACGGGAACGACGACCACCATCGTTGGTCATCCAAGGACAAGCATCAGCCTGCCAGTGCCGCAGTGCCTGCGCACAGGCCCCGATCGAGGTCGACCGTGTCTTGCCTAGCATACACCCGCCGACCTTTATACCCTGTTTTTCCACCTATGTGTGCCTAGGCCGGCCCAAACGCCGGATCGCATACCTGCCCAACGCCCTGCTGCACAAACCAAATCGTACGTGAGCGCCAGGTCCGGAAAACGCAAGGGTTTCTGCGCCTCCGTCTCGCAATAACGGCAGAGTACAACGCGACGTCACGTGATGCCGTATTTCGTACGGAATGCATACCCTTATCCAATCTAGCCATCTTTCCAAGCCCTGACCCAAATCAAAATACACGCAATCCACCAAAGCCACACTCACGCGGTCCTGCAGGACTCCTACTAGTTGGGTAAGACCTGCTCTGAACGAATGCGCGAATAACAACTAAACAGTGGTGGCGGGGTGAACATAACAGGCAGCCGTCATGCAAGCGGCGAGCACGAGAACACACGTCATCCTTGCGTCCATCGTCGGCTGGGCCTCGTAGATTGGGAGTTATATACGCTGCCAAGGGGCCATGGAATTCGTCATGCGCGCAGCGCGCTCAAGGAACGCCCCCTCTATGCACGTTGCCAACTTTGGCAACAACCAAAGCAAACCCTGAAAACCTAAAACGGCAGTTGGCCATTAGGGACATCATAATATGCAGGTCACGAAACCCACAAGACTTCCTTAGGTAGGCTGAAAACTGCTCAAGATCATCCAGGGCACTTCCGAATAAGGACCAGTACCGATTTCGTAGAGGAAACGCACGGGCATGTGCCTGATCATGAGCAGCACGCAGCCAGCCCCAGTCCATTGACGCGCGCGAAAGGGCCGTAGCTTCGTTGCGGTTCGCCAGCCCCCGCTCAACCTATCGACCTGAGCAAGCAGCCCTCTCTAAACAAACGCCAACAGCGCCAGGGAAACGGGCGACAAGCTATCCTCACCCACTGGTCCAGCGATTGTTTCTTGTGGGAACATCCTTTTCCCCTGGCCTGCACACCGCTGGGCCGGGGCTTGACGTGCACGTTGACGTGACTTGGCACTATCATCATCCCGCCGCTTTGCATGTGTGGAACGGGCGCTCGTGCGCACTACATCAATCCTTCGCTGCCACCGCTCCGCTGCCGCAAACACCCCGGCCGGCGGCCTTTCCGCCACCCACACGTACTTGCTGCTGCTGCCGTTTATTACAAAGACCGGCACGCTGCACCGCAGGGGCCGTGCGCCTGTCAGCGCACGGCAATCTTTAGCTGTGACATGCAGTTACTCAGCCAGGATAAAGTCTAGCTGTCCCACGCTTCCGGTCACATCATTTGCTCCTTGTGTACCCACAGGTCTCAGGAAGCTGCCACGCCGCGCGCCCCCGCCGCTACTGCCGGTCAATGCTGCGCCATGCAGCTGTAATCCGCTGCTGCTGTTGGCTCCACCATCCTAGTGCCCCTCCAGCTGCGACTCCAGGTACAACAGCTTGTACATCATCTGGATCACTTCCGACTTGTCGTACGGAATGATCTTGAACACCAGCCTCGAAAGGTCCGTCATGCTGGCCTCATCCACCTGGTTGCTCTTCAAAAGCGCGTAACTGCAGCAGGGGCGTGCAAGAACAAGCAAACCGTTATTTCACGTGCAGGGGGAGGAGCAGGAGGCGCATTCCGTACCTCTCAAAGCACTTGCCAGTGTCTCCGCATAAAGCATGGACGACGGAAAAGGGTAAAAGTGCCTATGTTCAAGCGATACGCAACGTGCAACTAGATGCCTTCGTGGTTCGGCCCTGTCCTGATGAAAATCAACATCATTGCACTTACGAATATGGACGGCTCTTCTACAAGGAGAAGGGTTAATTGTGTCCAACCTTTCCTCCTCAGTCAAGTGCTAGATCCACCAAGCTACAACCCGACGCCAAGAGTCAGCCTCAAAGAGTGCCGGCGGTCTGTGGGAAAGCAACCTGCTCACACCGGGAAGTCCCCTCCCTCCAGGCCATTCCCCAAGCCTCGTCCAAATATCGAACTTACAGCTCGTTGAATGCCTTCTCGCCAACAAGGTCCAGGCAAGCTGCGCGCTGAATCATCATTGCGCTCCTCATGTGGGCGATGCGGGTGGGGTCGGGCGCCCACCCTGCATCTCCCTCTTCGCCCTCACCCTCCACATAGTCCCCATTCTCGTAATACTCCTCGTCCTCTTCACCCTCTACGTCCTCGTCCTCTTCCCCATCCTCGTGATCCCCTTGAACGGGATTCAGGTAGGGGTTCTTGCTGTCATCTTCGTCGTCACCTTCATCCTCGACGTCGAGATTCTCTGAGGGGCACAGAAAAGATGTGCTAAGGAGGTTACTAAGAGCCCCATTAACACTATGCCGCCAGATAGTATCTCTGTAACGCGTCAGTTATGTTGGCAGACATCCACAACACATATTTTGCCTGTAGTGTAAGCTACCCTATCCTTTAACGCCGTGTGCTTTGCTCAACGCAGTCTGCAAGTGCTTTGCGGCACTTTTAAGTGCCGCAGCAGACCGTCGGTCTCTCCCTCAATTACCAAATATCCACTACCCGGCATGCTGTCCGCGTGCTCACCCATTTGCTGCGCCAGGCCCCAGGCTGGTGGTCGCTGCGCTTTGGGCTTGGTGTCCTCTACGCTCCACGCGGCTTGGACGGGCGCCGGCGCCGCCCCAAGCGGCTGACCCTCCCCTGGCGTGCGCTCCACATTCGTGACGGTCACGTCCACTGGCCGCGTTCCTACCGCCTCGCTTGTGCGGATGGTGGACGCGAGAGCATCGCCTGGTTCGGAGGCAACAGCAGCCTCCGGTACTCCCCCGTCTCCTGCGCCGGCAGAAAATGCCGCCGATTATCACATGCTACCAACCGAGCAACCGTGCAGTAAGGCGTCCATGCGCCATACGTGCAAACGCTGAAAAAACTTGACTGCACTTGGCGCTCATAGTCACGAGCTAACCTTACATGCATGGACGCAATCGGAACGCAATGGCCGACCTGCTGCACATTACCACATCGTATCCACTAAGATACGCTGACCAGGCGCAAGCGGTTTCCTTCAAATATATATCCCCTGCTACGCTTTCGACTATCCAGAGGCAGAAACAAGGGCCCTGCGTCCAAGCTTTCAAAATCCACTGCAGTTATGCTTCTCCATGAATTATAGAGTCCCCCATCCAATTCACCTAGAGGAGTCTTCGGCCGCGCCTGTGGGTCATGCACAAGGGTACCATGGGAAAATGCCTCTCGGTTAGTTTGTTGCAACGGTCAAGTCGCGAGATGTTTCACGAGTCAATGCTGGCGGGGATATCAGGTCGGCTAAACAGATGTCCGCCCAGCTCACAAATAGATCCCAAAAGGGGAAACGACCGCAAACTAATCTCTACGACAAAAAATCCCAGCGCCATACCTTGCCAGGCCCTCCAGCGACATTTCGATCCGCCATGAGTGCGAGCGTGGCCTGGTCCGGCAACGAGATCCCGAGCTCCTCCGCTTTTTGCCGGATGCTGGGCAGAGTCAGAAGCTTGAAGGTGTTTGGTCGCCGGTTCGCGTTCTGCGTTTTCAGATATGCTCGTGTTCAGACTCTATGTAAAACCGTAAAGATGGAAGGAAACGGCATGTTTTCTCGGGGCGTCACTTCACCTGTGTTAAGCAGCGCTTAATCAGATCCGAGATGTCCGGTGAGTAGCCTGTAACTGGCGGGAACTTGCCCCGAAGGATTTTAAGTATCAACGCCCCCTGTGTCATCATGGGAGCCATCGCGGTCAGTTGGAAGCGGATTCCCCCTTACGCCCTGCTTTGCACTCCTGTGCCACATGCCGTACGACAAGGCACCACTAACCTGGTTATCTGCATCGAAGGGGTGCCGCTGGGTGCAGCACTCGTACAACACCACTCCCAGTGCCCAAACGTCCGATTTCTCGTTGTACGGCTTATCCTCGCAGAGCTCAGGAGACAAGTAATAGGGGGTGCCCACTATCGTCTTCGCAAAGTTTGTGTTCGTGCTCAGAATCTGCATGCGTGTTGGCAACCCATACATGTTAGGGTTATGTGGGAAAACAGGTTGGTGTGTGCACTGGCCGGCCACGGACCTTTGCGACGCCCATGTCTCCAAGCTTAACGTTCACGTCCTCGTCGAGGAACACGTTCAGAGTCTTTATGTCACGGTGGAGAATCTTCTTGGAGTGCATGTGGTTGAGTCCCAGCAGAATCTACAGGGGGAAAACACCGGTTTGAGCCGCCCAACAGGGGATGGGGACCGCGAACCCACACCATCGGACCTGGATATACAGCTTCCATATCAACTCCTCCTTCAACCAAGACTTCTGCTTTTTGATGTAGTCGTGCAAATTGCCGTTCGCCGCGTACTCTGTAATGATGTAGAGCTTGCCCTGCACAAAAGCTTTTGTTCGGTGCCGGCCCCGAGCTATGGCCCCACTCCAGCGAGCGTACCTTCTCTAAAAACGAGTCATAGTATCTGATAATATAGTCCGAATCAAGAGAGGACAGAACGCGGGTTTCCCGGATGCACTCTTCTTGCTCCTGGCAAAGATGCGAATGAAGCGAAGTAAAGCGTCCATCTCCAAGAAAAGGACTAATCTCCGGTTTGCCACAAAGTAGATAGAATAACAGGGGCCAAGCCACACCTTGCGGGACATGCCTTGGAGGTCGATTTCCTTCATCGCGTAAACATGCTTGTCGACCTTGCGGATCACTTTGAAGACGACACCGTAGCTGCCACTACCGATCTTCTCCTTGATAATAAAGTCGTCGTACGTGCTGCGCGCCATGGCGCCACGTTGAACGCCCCCTCCTCAATGTGCAAGTTGGTGCGCGCACAGGCAGCCGCGCCGCGCCGACAGCGCCGTTCCCCGGCCAGCTGTGCCACCAGTACTGCTGCAACTATTTAACGTGCCGGCATAGGCCGCCCTGGACAAGTGTCGATCAAGCGCGACGGCGTGAAAGGAATGCTCAACCTTAGGAGCTAAATTTAATTTGGAGAAGATAACGCTAAGGTAACAACAAATTGCCAAGTTGAACAACACCCGAACTGAGGGAACACGAGTCCAAAGGAGACTGAAGAAATATTGTACGGCACCTGTGCATGTCCAACTCCGTTAACGATTTGGAAGTAGCCTCTGGCAATATAATGGTCTTACTAGTTTATGAGGAAGTAGGGGGTATTCGTTGCTTGGTACGGTTATCCTGCTCCTTGCTTCTTACGCCACTGCTGCAAGCCAGCATACAGCGTGCATGCTGTCGGAAACTGCAACTTCTTTCCAGCAGTACATTAATATGGATGGTGGGGTAAATAAACGCACTGTTGCCCTTCCGCGTACTCAAACGCACGCACGATGCTGCCTGTTTATGTGTTTTATTCAGCGTCCGCGTCGTGCTATATTGTACGCCTGAGACAGTTTTCAAGATGCCTGCCGGATTAGCGGGCTCATAGCTATCCAGGTCACCTGCGCATGTCTCCTCCCATTGAAACCGACTTGAGCTAAAAAGCATGCTTACAGGTATTTTCGTGCGGCCACAGCGAGCGACCGCTTTGAGGATTCTAGTCAAGCGCGTCTGCGCAGCCCAGGCTCAAAGGGAAAGCCTGCGGGAGATGCCACTTGACTACGCGTGATAACATGTACAGCATCTGCATCCAATAGTCCCACACTTCTTCCTCCATCCTCTATCACCACCGGCCGGGTCGCCATCACATACACTCGAATACGGACTATTAAAGAAGCGGGCACGAGTACATAACGTCGCCGCGCATATCCTGGTTTTGTCAGATGGCAGAATCCTATGACATTGCAGTCATGGAAGCACAGTATCCCTATAGATGATGCACCCCAAAAACCTAGGACTTGCCCCGTTCTCATCGCCCTCAAGGGGCCTTGCCATTTGGGTGTTTGGACAGGGCCCTGCACTGCGCAGGGTGTACTGGCTAACTCATTCGGGACCATGTGGAGCATGAGCTGGGAGGAAGGCAAGGCAGGGCAGCTATCACCAGGAATTGGTAGCAATTCATCTTTAACATATGGAGAAAACATGACAGCATGCAAGAAACGACAACGGCATCCCTTTGTAGGGCAAGGGGAGGGACGGGGCAAGCAGCAGGACAGTACTGAAGGTACCATTGTGCCAGGGAACGCCTTCGGCTGTGAAAGGGGGGAAGGAATAGGAATAGGGGTTCTGCCAGGGTTTCGTCAGCGGACATTTTTCCTGTCGTTGTTATAAAACCCCGCAGGCGACCACGGCCCCATCGTTTGCACACCAACCCCACGTCTCTCTCCCTTCTCTTTCGCTTCCACACAATCAACCCCCCGAATAGCCGGGGTCATCCATCATAGAAGGCACACCCAAAACAAACATACAGACGAACAAGGAACTCACAATAACTCACAATTCAAGTTTACATAATCAAGCGAACAAGTTGACAGATAAAAGGATGGGGAGGGGACGACAGAGAGGACGGATCAGGGTGCCGGCCTTTTTCGTTGGCGGGTCCCTCCAGGACCGCCGAGAGGGGGCCCTGCCCCAGGGGGAATGGCCCTGTCCGTCCGTCACCCTGTGCGCGTCCGCCGGGCAGCCAGCTAGCTAGCCACCTCCGCCGCCTACACCAGCCAACCTGGATATTACTGCACACCCTCCACAACTTACAACAGCACTACAACAGCACTAACCAGAGGCCGCACCGGAGTACGCACACGCGGTTAGTGCTGCGGGCAGCTGCCGACCAACACCGAAACAACGTTTGCAGGGCCAAAAAACAATTCTAAAAGCGTCCCCGAAGCCCTTTTCCACGTAAAAAACTACCAAAAGGCACACCAAGCGCGTCCCGTTGTCCTCCTCTGAAGGGCAAGTTGATTGCGTGTGTGGGTGGTGTGTTCAGTGTCTACGTGAGACATGACGAAATCATGGCACCAACACTTCAAAGTAAGCCGAGATGGTTACCTTTTGGGGTCATTGTGCTTCGAGCTAGCTATGGGCCGTTGCAACACCGTTGTCCCTGTGTATCTGTACATCCGTCCATCGCACCTGGGGTTCCCAAGCGCACCGGCGACTTTTTTTCTTCCTGCCTCTATTTCTTCCAGAATTCCAGACAAGCTTTCCTCAGGGCACACACCGTCGTTGGTCCGTCGGCTCCAGACAAAAGGACAAACAGACAACAGACAACAGACAAGTAGGCGGCAGGTTGGTAGTGGCTAAAGTGTGGCACGCAGCAAATGAAAGGCAGGCCGAAATGCGTCATGCCGGGATCCGTTGTAAAGGGGGCGTAGCAAAGCGCTTGTCATCAAAACCATCTTTCAGGGTGCAAGTATTAAGTAAGGCTCCGAAACCCCGGCCAAGGGTTAGAACCCCGTTCAGCGCCGACAACCAACCGCGATCCAGCATCCCGACCCAACCGGGACAAAGTAGCTAACAGCCCCGCTTCTGTAACACTTACTTCCCAACTCAAAACACTTCCGCTCCATACCCAGTCATGCCCCCTATCAGCGGCCGTATTAGTCAACACCGCATCACGGCATCGCTCTCCTCTCGGATCACCGGCCCACGGCGAATCAGTCGTGTCCAGCTGGATGGATGAAACAAATGCCCTTCAGCCCTCCTCTGAAACGAGCGGACTCCGATGACTTCGAGCGACGTTGCGCTCCTCTCGATAGCTGACAGTTCCAAGGACGGTCTTTATCTTATTTATGCATGCATGCTTAGTCTGTTAGCAACTCTTACTTCGCGAGAAAGAAAGAACAGCTGATGGCCAACAACAATCACGCAACATTAAATCTGCAACTTCAATTGTAAAAAAAGCCCCTACCCTTCCTCAAAGGAGTCCCAAGCCGACGCTCCCATCCAGCCCCACAAGTCCTCCTCCTTCTCCTCCTCCTCCTCCTTCGCGTCACCACCATCAACCGTTTCCTCCCTCGGCCATGAAGCCACCTCTCCGTACCACCCTAAACATCGCCCTAATCGACACAACCCCAATCACCGCCACCGCCACCGCCATCACCCATGAAAAAATCACGAGAGGCACTGGAGAGGCCGAGAGGCTCCAGCAACCCAGCAACAATATCCCCTTCCCCCCTCCATTCCGCTCTTTCACCCTCCTCACTCTGGTTTGGCCTTGGCTGCCGGATCCGCGACTGTCGTCGGCAGCACCACCGCCGCCGCCTCTTTTACCTTGTTCTTCTTCTTCTTCTTCGCCACGAGATCATCTCGACCCAGATCGCCAAACCGCTCAAACAGCACCAACAGCAAGCCAGAGAGGACGCACGCCCCAGCGCCGCCTAGGGGAAGAGGAAATGTGCGCGGACGGGGACGGGGTGGGAGAATGCGCAAGTGGATAAATGTATGCTGCATAGACCGCTGCATTCACCTAGGGAAACGCCCAACCACACTGCGGCACATTGATGACATGATTGTACGACAATGAACCCCAAGCGGAGCGGCAAACCCTTACACGTCTTTTTGTCGTCAGAAGGGGGAACAGGCCATCGAACCAAGGGACGTAGAAGAACAGTTCAACAAGACCAAAGGGAAAAGCACTTACCAAGGAAGCAGCCCACGTTGCCTAACCCGGCCGCTCGGGTGGCGTCCGTGAGGATGCCCGCCACGGCATTACTGGCGGCCAGCACGAATCCTGTTTAGGCAACACGCCGGGCGTAGCAAGCTGGGGTGATATCGCGGCAGACGGCGGCGATGCGAGTTTGGCGCTCTGGGAGGGAGAACGCCAAGTGAACGCAAGGACCGCAAGGGGCTCACAGGCCGAAAGCAGGCGAGGTGGGCGGGCGACGTGGTGTGGCATTGCTGTTGCAACCAACAACCACAAAATAAGGAAGGTTGGGCAAGCTGGACCGAAAAAGTCAAAGAGGACAGGGGGCCACACCTACCACCTGCCAGCAAACCCGGGGTAGGTGTGGACCCCTGTCCATATATATACATATACATATATACATATATATGTATATATACATATACATATATATATACATATGTATGTGTGTACACACACATACACACACTCTCACTCTCACACTCACCTAGCAGGAGGTCTGTGAAGGACACAGCCGTACCACTCAATTTGCCCACGCCGGGCAGTACACCCGTAGGCATGTACGACGAAACCATGGAGATGGTGATGGCATGTGTCATCGCCATGTGGAGCCCTATGAAGGCGGAGCCGATGAACATGCCTGTACGGCACAAAGGAACAGGATAGGGGACGGGACGGAAGCGTCTTTTCGTGGTGGCGCAACACGGATGGAAAAGGAAAGGAAAGGAAAGGCCAAGGGAAAGGAAAAGACCGCCGGCGACCTCGGGGAGGAGGGGGGTTGAGCAGGGGCAGAGTGCGGGCGGGCACGGGTTTCGATGTGTATGTGTATGTCCACGTGTATGCGTGTATGTGTTTTGTATGTGCGGCAGTTGGCAGGCCAACCGTTGGTAGGTACTTACCAGCCGGATTTGCCGTCAAAGGCGCTGCGAAGCACGCATCCGCGATCACCATGCATGCGAAGCCAACTAACAGAAGGCGGTTACGGTTGGCAACCGACTCCCCGGAAAGGCGGGCCAGGGGGGCGGTTAGCAACATCTGGGGTTGGGGTGGGGAGGAGGACGAGCAACAGGCAGGTAATGGACAGTTGCAACGGTTAACAAAATCCCCAAGCTAACGAAATCGCCTCTCCGCACACACAGCTGACATCTTCGGTCTAACAGACCGGGCGGGAAAACTCCGTAACTTTTGAATTTAAATACATTTTCAAATCGGTTCCATAACGGCTTTCATTTTCGAGTCGTG